TTTCTATTTTTAGTAGAGACGGGGTCTCGCTCTTGCTCAGGCTGGTTTTGAACTCCTGAGCTCAAACAATCCGCCCGCCTCAGCCTCCCAGAGAGCCAGGATTACAGGTGTGAGCCACCGCGCCCAGCAGAGACCCTATCTTTGAAAAAAAAAAATGCTTCCCACTGTAATGCATGTGCTCAATTGAGCGGCCAGGCCTGGGCTCTCTCCTCCTTCCTCCCCGACTCCAGCTGCCGGCAGAACCCGTCTGTCACTGCCACTGGGACCCTGTGTCCTCGCCCACCCCAAGCATGATGCCCCTCAAAAAGGGAGGTAATGGAATTAAACCACCCCCAATCATTGGAAGATTTGGAACCTCACTGAAAATTGATATTGTTGGATTGCCAACAATCCCAACAATTGTTGGAAAATCTACCTTCTTCAATGTATTAACCAATAGTCAGTCTTCAGCAGAAAACTTCCCACTCGGTGCTATTGATCCTAATGAGAGTAGAGTACTTGTGCCAGATGAAAGGTGCTTTTGAAGATGATAATATCATGCTACAGTTGAAGGAAGTGTAAATCCCATTTGAGATATAGAAATAATGTATAAAGAGCTCCAGCTTATTTGTTTGTTTGTTTGTTTTTTTCTCCACTGAGGCAAGAAAAGAACGCTTCAGCTTAAAGATGAGGACATGATGAGGCCCATTATAGATAAACTAGAAAAGGTGGCGGTGAGAGGAAGAGATAAAAACCTGAAACCTGAATATGATAGAATGTGCAAAGTCAAATCCTGGGAGATAGATCAAAAGAAATCTGTTCACTTCTATCATGACTGGAATGACAAAGAAATTGAAGTATTGAATAAACACATTTTTGTCTTCAAAACCAATGGTCTACTTGGTTAATCTTTCTGGAAAAGATGACATTAGAAAGAAAAGCAAATGGTTGATAAAAATTAAAGAGTGGGTGGACATGTATGACCCAGCTGCCTTGGTCCTTTAGTGGAGCCCTCCATTCCTTTTAGTGGAGCCTTGGAACTCAAGTTGCAAGAATTGAGTGCTGAGGAGAGACAGAAGTATCTGGAAGTGAGTATGACAGGAAGTGCTTTGCCAAAGATCATTGAGGCTGCGTTTGCAGCACTCCATCTAGAATACTTTTTCACTGTAGGCCCAAATGAAGTGCCCGTATGGACCATCAGGAGAGGGACAAAGGCTCCTCAGGCTGTAAGAAAGATTCACGCAGACTTTGAAAAAGGATTCATTATGGCCGAAGTAATGAAGGATGAAGATTTTAAAGAGGCAGTTTCTGAAAATGCAGTCAAGGCTGCTGGAAAGTACACACAACAAGGCACAGATTATATTGTTGGAGATAGAGATATTATCTTCTTCCTATTTAATACACCTCAACAACCAAAGAAGAAATAGATTTTAGTTATTGCTCAGAAAAATGTACAACTTCCAAAAGGAAAGGTATATCATTTTTTAAAATTAAAACTTCTGAAAAGTGAAGGGACAAATAAAGTTGGGGAGATGGGTACCTTCTGTAAACAAATTATTTTTGTTTTATTTAATAAAATTGAAATACTGTGTACCTCCAAAAAAATTCTCAAACATATAGAAAAGTTGAAACATCTGCAGATCCACCACCTAGATTCAACAATTGTTAACATTTTGCCATATTCACTTAATATGTAATACAAATATATAAATGTGAAACCATTTGAAAGTTTGCTCCTAAATATTTAAACACATAAATCCTAAGAATAACATTCTCTTACCTAACCACAATGCCATTATCAAACATAAAAATTAACATTAATCCCTTTTAATCACCTAATAGCTAATCCATGTAAAATATCATCCCATTTTCCTTAAAATGTCTTCAATGGGTTGTTTTTTTCACAATCCAGGATACAGTCCAATTATTACGTATTATTATGGTTTGTATTGGGTGAACTTGGTAAAGCTGGAACTGTGTTTCCCAGAATCCCCTTCCCTGAACGGTTTCACATTAGAGTTGCCCACAGGAGGGATTTGTGTGAGATTCGGAAGGCAGAAATGAAGCAGCAAGTGTTATTCTCTGAAGGTCGTTGTGGTTAGATGTGGTGGCAGACGTGTTAGCTCTAGGCTGGGCATGGTGCTCATACTCCTAGCACTCTGGGAGGTCGAGGCAGGAGGATTGCTTGAGGCTAGGATTTTGAGACAGCCTGAGCAGGAGTGAGACCCTGTCTCTACTAAAAATAGAAAAAGTAGCCAGGCGTGGTGGTGCACACCTGTAGCCCCAGCTACTCAGGAAGCTGAGACAGGAGGATCACCTGACCCCAGGAGTTTGAAGTTGCAGTGAGTTGTTTTCATGCCATTGCACTCTAGCCCAGGTGACAGAGTGAGACTGTGTCTTAAAAAAAAAAAAAGAAGTGTTAGATCTAGCTTGTCCTTGCTTAGCAAGACCGGTGTCCAGAAATTCCTTCCAATGGCTGACCCTGTTGACCACCAGTGGCCCCAGACGCAGCACCAGACCCTTGGTGATGGATCCATGGAGGCGGCGGCTACGTAGAGTTCTCCATGAGCTTTCCCATCATAGTCCCTGGTCAGTGGCTAGAAGCACTTCATTTCCCACACTGGTGACCCTTTTCTGACCTCTGACTGCTCTCCTGGTCTTTCACTTCCCCAGCTCCTTCTACAATAGTTGTAAGGTCTAATTCCTATAATAAATTCCTTGTCTCATAATTCAT